GTAGTGACAATAATTAAAAAAAAAAAAAAAAAAGCTGGGCTAGGATGCAACTTAAAAGAAAATGAGTGGGGCTGGGAAGGTGGCTCAGTGGTAGAGCACTTGCCTTGCATGCCTGAGGCCCTGGGTTCGATTCCTCAGCACCACATAAGCAAAAAGAAAAAAGCCAGAAGTGGCACTGTGGCTCAAGTGGTAGAGCGCTAGCCTTGAGCTGAAGAGTTGAGCGACAGTGCTCAGGCCCAGAGTTCAGGCCCAGGTCTTGCTTGAGCAGACATTTCTGCAAGACCATGGACAAATGACAGACACCTGAAAGAATCAACCTAAGTTTATTTTGGCTCTGCTTTCAGAAGTTTTGGTCATGGCTTTGGGGCTGTGTTGAGGCAGAGCATCATGGCTTCAGTAGAAACACAGCTTTTTACCTCATTGTGACCAAGAGAGAGGAGAGGTGGGGTGAGAAGAGAGGGGAGAAGGAAAAAGGGAGAGTGCTCTTGAGGACACGCCCCCAATAACCTCACTTCCTTCCACCAAGCCCCGCCCCATGAAGGTTCCACCAACTCCATGTTATCACAGGCTGGGACCTAGTCTTTGACATGTGGGCATATTCAAGATATAAATTACAGATTAGGGAGATACAAATCAACAAGTCAACCTACAGAATGGTTTTAATTTAATGAAAGACAAAGAAAAATAATTAGTGTTGCCAGCATGTGGAGAATGAGATCCCCATGAGGCACTGGACGCATGAAATGGTACAAGGCTATGGACAACATTATGGCAACTCTTCAACAAGTGATATGCGGTATGAACAGGGGAAGAATGAAGAATAAAGGGCACCCCTGCGTTCCAGCACTGGACACATCCCCTTAACCACAAAATGCCCAAATGACTCACATCACTGTGTGTGTCTGAGGGTAAGGGTAGGGGTACTAGTCCTGGACCTTGAACTCAGGACCTGGGTGCTGTTCCTGGCTGTTTGGCTCAAGGCTAGTTTTCTACCACTTGGGCCACAGCTCCACTTATGGTTAACTGGAGATAAGAGCCTCACAGTCTAATCTGCCCTAGCAGGCTTTGAACCATGATTCTCAGATCTCAGCTTTCTGTGTAGTTTAGAGGTGTGAACCACCGGTTCCCAGATGATTTTTAATACATATATATAATACATATAGTCACTAATTAAGATTGCTTGCGCTAGAGAAATGGTCCAAAATATGCATCTGAATAAACTACTTGCCACTGCGGCTTTGCCGTGGGTGTCTAGCTGAGTGTAACAGGATTGTTTAATGAAATACTATTAGGTTGGAAACACTCTTGAGTGCTGGCTGATAGGGGGTGGGGAAACCTTACTATAGCCCCTGATGATTATATTACTTAAAGCTTTGCCAGTGGAGACCAATTAATAATTCAACAAGAAATTATTTTAAAAAGAATTTATTAGACCAACACACCCATAGAATGAAATCTAAGGATTTGGTTGGAAAGCCACCAGGCTTGTAAAACAGCAGAAGTCCAAAGTCACACGCTTCAAGCATTTTCCTGTGACAGTGCATGGGAGAAGGAAGGATTAGGAATCACAGCACCAAGCTAGTTGCTAGTTCACACAGGAGTCTGCACCTCCCTCCCTGCTCCTGCTCTTTGGCTGAAGTCTGTGATTACCGTACCTGAGAGGACTGGAATGAAATATTTCCCAACGTGTCACAGAAATTCATCCTCTTTGAGCTGGGCAGAGTGTTGCATGTCTGTAATCCCAGCAATACAGGAGGCAGAGTTAAAAGGATAGAAGTCCCAGACCAGCCCCACACAAAAACAGAAGATGTTATTGGGGAAAAAAATAACAAAAGCCTTCAGGGGGTAGGGGTGTGGTTCAAGTGGTAGCATGCTTGCCTAGTAAGCCAGAGGCCCTGAGTTCAAACCCCAGGACTACCAAAAACTTTAAACTCTATGCTGCAGATCTTACCTTCGAGCTTTCGAATTTCCCCGTCATGCACATGGAATGTTGCTTTGGAGGAACCAACAGTTAGTTTTAGAAAGTATTACCAACGTGGAAAGTGAATAAAATTATTATATGCTCTATTTACAGTAACTGCATTTTTAATCTCATCTGGCACCAATTGTCTTTTAGAGCTATAATGCATTGGTTGGAAACACTCATCTAGATAAAAGAAAAGGCATCTAAATAGCAAATCATACATAAGTAATATCTACTCTCGAAGCTTAGAGTCAGGCCGGGCACTGGTGGCTCACACCTGTAATCTTATCTACTCAGAAGGCTGAGATCTGAGGATGGAGGTTCCAAGCCAGCCTGGGCAGGAAAGTCCGTCAGTCTTATCTCCAATAAACCACCAGAAAACTAGAAGTGGCACTGTGGCTCAAGTGGCAGAGCGCTAGCCTTGAGCTGAAGAGCTCAGGGACAGCGCCCAGGCTCAGAGTTCAAGCACCATGACCAAAAAAAAAAAGCTTAGAGTCACATGAATATGAAGTCTTCAGTTAAGTTAGGAAAAGTAGGGAATATTTTCTAATTTCTACCATTCCTGATCATTAGGAGCCTGTCATGGTGGCTCAGCCTATACCCCTAGCTACTCAGAAGGCTGAGATCCTGAGGATGGCAGTTTGAAGCCAGCCCAGGCAGAAAAGTCTGTGGACTCCATCTTCAAAATAACCAGAAAAAAGCAGGGCTGAAGGCATGGCTAAAGTAATAAAAGGCCCAGCCAAATAAACAATCACAAGACCCCAAAATTCAATGCCTGGTACCACAACAAAGAAAAACATCCATAGGCAACTTAAGATTATAATATAGTGTTTTCGCATTACCAATGTACTTATACCTTGAAGACACTGCTCATTAATTATCAGTGAGATAGGCTACCAAGAAATAACCAGGAACATAGTATCCAAATAGCTAATCAAAGTAAGAAAGCAGGGAAACAAATGAGAATAAAATAGATGGCATAGAGTTGGGGTCATTTGAGTTCTGAGCTCAGCCAGCAGATCTTCACATTTCATGGAACGCTGATGGTAGAAAAGTCTGCACAAAACTGGTAAGGGATCTTTACAGAACCTGATTTTGTTTTGTCAGTCGTGGGTCTTGAACTCTGGGCCTGGGCACTATCCCTGAGCTCTTCAGCTCAAGGCTAGTACTCTACCACTTGAGCCACAGTGCCACTTCCAGCTTTTTCTGCTTATGTGGTGCTGAGGAATCGAACCCAGGATCTCATGCATGCAAGGCAAGCACTCTACCACGGAACCACCTTCCCAGCCCCCAGAACCAGATTTTAAGACAGATGTTCAAAGCGGGAGTTGAAAACACATGTATTAAGCTGCTCAGGTGAGTCCACTTCCTACAAACTTTCTGTCTCTGGGTAGCTTTTAATCCTGTTTCCTTTCCAGCCCTTACAACCTTTCACTCATTCACCATCATGGAGAAACTGGAATAAGTCAGAGTCCAAGATGACCTAAAAATGTTAAATTTATACTCAATGGCTCAAGCCACCTATCTACTCAGTGTGCTGACATCTAAAGATTTGTGGTTCAAAGCCAACCTGGGTAGATAAATCAAAAAAAAAAATTCTTTACTCCAGTTAACTAAGGGGTTGAGGGGGAGGAAAGCCATAGTTGAGATGTGGCTCAAGTGGTAGAATGTTAACCTTGAGGTTAAAAAAAAAAAAAAAAGCCGGAGGTGTAGCTTAAGTGGTAGAACAAGAGACTTGAACCAAAAAGCCAAGCAAGAGCACAAAGGCCCTACATTCAAGCCCCAGTTCACACACACACACACACACACACACACACACACACACATACACACACACACATAAACCCCAAACTTTGTGATATATGTCCACATGCTTGTGGAGCTAACTCTTCCTAAATTTGGTTCTGATCGCGAAAATCTAGAGCCAGGCCTAAAGTTTTCATCAAATACTGCCCACTGTGCAAAACAGGTCGATTTGCTACACAGATTTAATCTAGATTCTTTGGATCATTGCTCCCTACCCTCATTACTATCTTTAAGAATTTGGGGTCACTGTTGTGGTCTTCCCAAAGTGTTCTCAAGGCCTGCAGTGCAGCCAGGCTGTCCCCAGCAGGTGAATCTAGACTCCACCCTGAGCCACGCTTCCTGGCACAAACTTCTGATCTGCTCAGAAAGATGAACCGTTTTTTGTATTTATCAGTGTGGTTCTTATGTCCAAACCTTGAATGAGATCTAAAAAGTTCAGTTACTCATGCGAAAAGTAGTCCATCCCACAGCTGCAGCAAGCACCCAGTTCTCCCCAGCTTTGTTCAGGAAGAGGGAGGAGCCATTGTATTTCAACCAATAATTATCAAGAGGGTCAGGATGAGTGGCTCATGCCTGTAATCCTAGCTGCACAAGAGGCTGAGATCTGAGGACTGTGGTTCGGTGCCGTCTCAGGCAGGAAAGTCTGTAAGACTCTGATCTCCAATTAACCACCCAAGAGCAAGAAGTGCAGATGTGGCTCAAATGGCGGGCTGACAGCCTTGAGCGAAAAAGCTAGGCGAGAGGGCGCAAGGTCCTGAATTCAAGCCCCAGTACTGGTGCACACAGACACACAGACACACACACACACACACACACACAGACACACACACACACACCAAGAGGGAAAGCGCTAGGGGGGGGAAGCTCCTCCGCTCAGAGTGGGCTGGAATCTACCGAGACTCCATCTCTAGACTTGGTGCAGTGAGCATCGCTCCAGCCCAGCGCCAAGTACCCTAATCCTAGAAAGAAAAGAAGAAAGCCCTTGAACAAGAGCGAAGAGCGAGCCGTAGGAGTGGAGCATTGGAGGCAGCCTTGTCTCAGGACGCGGCCCGGGCCGTTCCAAGGTCGCGGGACGGGGTGGCCCCCTGGCGGTGTCGCCGGCTGCCGGGAGAGATGGGGGGCCGCGAGAGGGTGGCCCTCGTGCGCCTGCGCCCCTCGGGGCAAGGGGGCGCCCGGGACCAGGCCAGCCAGTCTCGATCCGGACGATGCGAGGGTCCCCGGGGCTCCAGGTTCATAGGTGTGGGGCGTAGAAGGGGGTCAAGTAGGAGGCCCCGAGAAAGGGCGCAAAGGGGGGCCCGGCGGCGGCGCTCAGCGGGAAGGAGGCGGCGGGGAAGAGGACGTTGGCCGCGGAGTAGGGGGGAAACGTCTGGAAGGGGAGCGCTGCGGGGCCGGGCGGGCCGGGGC